TCCTCCTCCTCCTCCTCCTCCTCCTTCTCCTTCTTCCTTTTTTTTTTTCCAACTACACTGAAATCTACCTGCCTTGGGCCCATTCTAGAACAAGGCAGGCTTGTAACTGTCCTTGAAACTGCACTTGCAAGGCAATATAAAGCAGTGAGCAAAAGAGCAGAAGGAAAGAAGCAGCCAAAACTTGCTGTTGAACAGCTCCCTCTGGCTCTTCAGCCTCCTTGGTCTTAAGGTTTAAGATGGGCCAGGGGAGAGCTGCCTGGGAGGCCACAGATCACAGCCCTAGGCCCATTTGCAGCCCCTGACACACCCATGTGCCAGCCAGCTCTGTTCACGTGACTGGTCACTGCTGTCCGTGTCACCATAGCTTGTACCCCTGGTGCAGCAGACCGTGGAACCAACAGCAGCTTTCTGGAGAGACTAGTTCCCATGATCCTTTGGGTACCGTGACTCCATTTTAAATGGTCTTAATGTTGCCCAGTGAGGGGTAGTCAAAGGAATAATGAAGATTTCTTGTCCTTAGGTCTGATGTGAGGGAAGCAAATGGCTGGTTGAAGTACAAAGTCCCCACCCCCAGTTCCTCCTAATGAATAAAGTTCCAGCAGTCATTTATTTGGGCTGGAGAAAAGGAAAGCCCTAGAACCTGTGTCCTCTCCTTGCTTTGTATCAGATCTCTATGTTTGTGGGTATTCAGGCTCAATGAAGGTGAATAACTATATCTGTAGGAGCCAGAAAAGAATCCATTCCTGATAAGCAGGGAAAATATAGCTCCCATGGAAGGTGAACACAAGCTAACAGCTCTCTGACTTGGGAGCATGAAAACCTAGGTGCCGACACACCAGGCAGTCTTATGTCTGGACTGGCATCTCGTGGTAACAGGGTCAGTAACGCCGACAGTGCATTGTTCCTTCTGCGACTCCGTATCTTGGTCTAGATCACCATCCAGGTACCAGGGAACAGCAGGAGGGGCCTCCCTTTATGGGTTTCAAGCTTCATTGTGAGTCTCATTTTTAAAGTCACTTAGATAAAAATTTGTATCCACCTCCAAATAGCTACCCCCAGTTCCATGCAGACACAATCAGCTCCTCTATTAAAAGTAACTCTCAGGGCCGGGGATTTAGCTCAGTGGCACCGCACCTGCCTCGCAAGCGTAAGGTCCTGAGTTCCATCCTGGTACTAAAAATAAAAGGAACTCTCTAACCTTAGCCTTGGGGAACCAAATAATGCTCGTGTACTAATTTTGCCTACACTATGTATGTTCTCATATTTCAGGGTAAATCTGCCCTTACTGTATGTCATTGTGTTTTGTGAGTTGGTTTTTTTTTGTTTGTTCTTTTGTTCAGGGAATCGAACTCAGGGACTTGCACTTGCCAGGCAGATGCTGCGCCGCTGAGCTACATTCCTGGCCCTGTGAGTTGTTTTAATAGGATTCTGTTCTATTTTATTTACCAGAAATATTCTATCCTCCAATGAGTGTATTTTAGTATCAAAGCCCATCGAGAAAAACTGGGGTCAGAAGTGGGCTTATTTGGGCAGCCTTGAGAAAAGTCCAGCATTCTTCTGATATTTCCTGAAAACCAGTATTTTGGTCCTGATATTGCCTGTGTCCAAGGTTCCCTTTTATGGAGTGGAAGGGATGCTTGTTTTCTTCTTCTAGAACTCTGGTATTATACTTTTATCATTTAAAAGACTAACATTCCTGCGTTTCCACAACTACATGCCTTCAGCTTTCTCCTCTTAAACTCGAGGCCCATTTCCTCCTATTTCTGTGTGGAGACTTTGGAGTAGGGGCTTCGTGAACAGGAGCCAGAGGCAGGGTGGTGGCTTTGCAGCATTTGGTTGACAGGCAGCAGCTGCCTTTCTATCAGCTGACCCTGCTGGACATTTGCTGGTCCCACTGGCCAGTCCCAAGGTGCTGGCTCCCTCTAGCGCAGCTCCCGGGTGTTGCTCTGTGTCCAGAGCAGAAGGAACTGGGCCTGGCTGAGCAGAGATGGAGACTGAAGGCAGGAGAGGAAAGGCAGTTAGCAGTGGGTGCAGGGCCAGAACCTGGCACTCTGGGGCACCTTGGGATTTCTTGCTGTTCCCAGCTGCAGGGTCGGGCTGCACTGAAGTACTCTCACCTTTTCTGTGTTTGCTTTCGTGGGTGCGCTGCACTTCAGCCCTTCACTGGCTCCCCACTGGCGGTGTCCCCCACTGCTGGGTGGGCTTCAGGGCAGGCCAGCTGGGGTGGGCCCCTCTCTCTAGTGAGGGTTCTGGAAGACTCTCTACTTGGGTTGGATGGCAGTTTGATTTCTGGCATTTTCAATGGTGGGAATGCAGCCACTTGTACGGTCGCGTGTGTGTGTGTGTGTGTGTGTGTGGGTATACATATGTGGGGGTGCTTGTATGTGAATAAGTGTGTTTGTGCATGCACCTACCGACAGAGGATGGCTATGTGGACTGAAGGGGCAGACAGGGTTGTTCCAACCCTCCCCTGGGCACACTCGGGACGACCAGCACATAATCTGTGGGCCAAGTGCAAAAGGAAAACTCAAAAGCCCCTTGTTTCAAAGGATTCAGAATTTCAAGATGGGAACAGCAGAGTCTTAAGCCGAACTGGGGCCCTTCTGAGTGTGGGGCCCGTGGTGACCATGGCTGCCCCACGCTCTCCTAGGCTTCCCTGGCCACCCTGTATTTCCAGACGGATCTTGAAGCAGGTAGAGCCTTGTTTTCTGTCTTTTCCCTTGGAAATGTGCCGAGCTGGGCTGATGCGCTTTTCAAAACTTCTGCTTTTATTTCCTAAAAGCATAAATGGTTGGACCAATTAGAGGACACAGAACCAAATCAGGAGGGAGTTGTCACCCACGGTGGCCAGAGAGAGTCACTGGGGGTGACACTGGATGTCAAGCACCTTTGAACTTCAACCATTGAACTCACTACCTTGAAGTAGAATCCTTCTCTTGTGGTTAGTCATCCCCTGGAGCTTTTCTCTTCATTCCTGGTGGGATGGGAAGGCTTTTCCAAACTTCTGCTGTCAAAGAGAAGCTGGGAGGTCCTAGAAGTGCTCAGTGTCTCTTCCCAGTGGCTGGACCCTTGTTTCTCCCTGGGGAAGGGGTTCTGTGGAGCCACCGTCTTCCAGCTGGACTCTCTCTGTAGGATCTCATTTGGCTTTTAGACAGGGTGGTGTTAGCAGAGAGGAAAGACCCCCATGTCTGCATTCTAGAAGACCATGGCACCGGGGCAGCTGATGACCATGGATTTGCCCCTCCTAGCTATGTGCTTGCTGCTTTCTTTCACAAGCTTATGCTTCACTGGGCTGGATGTTCCAAAAACCTGTGCAGTTCTGCTTGGTTCTGCAAACGTAGCACTATTTCTATACACATAGAGCAAAAATTACTTCCTGCATATCCTAATTCTTTCTGGGATTATGTTTGCCAAGTGAAAACATTCACAGAAGGTCGAACAGAAATTACAAACCCATCTCACATGGATTTGACTAAGTCGTCTTGAAGGAAATAACAAATTATAGCTTCATTTCCACGTGTTGCACAATCTTTCAAACTACGTAAATTTCACACTACATAAAGCATTTTCTAGACGCATTTAACTAATGTTGTATCAGAGTGAGTTTTACTAAATGAATATTTTGAGATACATCTTATAAATCAACATCCTTAAAATGTTATCTGCTAAGTATTCACTGTGTCAGAAAGTAGATATTCTAGCAAGATCCTTGTTGAGGATGTTTGGTTTTAGACATGCACTTAAAGCATATATTGCCAGTAACCCAAATATCTTTGAAGTGTGAGATCAGTCTAGGTCTTTGCCTGCTGCAGCACAAGCAGCTCTGGCCTGTGCCCTCCTCTTCGCACCAGAGCTGTGTAGATGAGGCGTTGGCGACCATCTCACCCTGTCGTATTGCCTTAGCTCCATCAGCTCTCTCCCCTCACGTGAATAGGCGGTGAACATATGTGTAAATACAGGTGTACAGATGAGAAACTGCCCCACAATGTCCTGTGTATGATAATCAGCTCACAACTTCCAGTTTTCTGCATTTTATGCTGTGTCCAGCTAAGAAAAATGCAGAATTCCACTGCATAATGTGAAAAAGGCTGTGCTTTTTAAAAGGTTAGTTGTGAAATCTCTGCTATATGTTTATGGAAATGACCATGATTAAATGTATGTATGGTATGTAAGGCTATGCTGTTAAATGTCGCTTAAACTAACATAGATTGTGTAGTCTAAAATATTTCACTTGTTACTGTAAAATGTGATTTGTCATTGAGAGATTATTTTTCTGTATGTATATGAGAGTATTTTAGGAATCTAATTTAAGTACATAAAATTATAGAAAAAAAATTTAAACCTATTCCAGGAGTAGAAAAAGCTTAATCAGATTAGCTGGGTTCAACCTGCCTAAATTTGTTACATTAAAAAAAAAATACAGATTGTATATGCTTAGAAATTCAAAGGAGTTAGGTTTTTATCCTGCAGGGAATATGATGAATTTCATATTTATGAAATGGGTGGTGATGTGTTAAAGTGGAGAGTATCCTGTAGCCATGACCTTGGATGAGACCTCTGCATTTCATTAAAAATGAATTCATACAGATAACGTATTCTGAAGGGCGGTGTGTTCAGGAAGGACAACAGACCTGAGAGTCTGCCTTCTTTCAGGCCCATGTGCCACAAGCACTTCCTTGAACTGTAGCATATTTTAGTCAGCAATCTGGGGTAACTCACTGTCCCACCAGAGTTCAGGGGCCTTCAGGGAGGCCTCACCCTAACTTGCAGCCCACCCTTTCCACTTCTGGATGTACTCAGCACTTCCTCCTCTCCTTTAGTGCTTACAGCT